AATCGTCAACAATACTCCACGCAGCAAAAAATTCTTGAAGAGTTGAATGAAGAAAACAATAAATAAAGCGTCGTTTATGTGATATCTGATGAAAAACACCACAGTTTGCCAAATCTTGAAATTCATTATTATTCTTATCTTCAAAAATCAAATTTTCTACTTCAAGTCCCTTCTTTGCTTTTTCTTTTATTTTTTTTATATCCGTATCAAGCAAGAATGGTAAAGGGATAGTCAAATGATTTTTCGGCGTTTTTTCTTTCTTGAGAGAAGGATGATGTCTCCATAGTAGGATTTTAATTGCTCTGTTGTACAATTCAGTGATTGTCTTTGGAATATCGTCAGTATTATTTATAAAGCTTTTCTTTAGGGTCAAGCAGACAATGTAAGTGTTGACAGGGATAAAGCAAAAGCTACGAAGTTCATTAGATTTATTAATGCAATTCAAAATCAGCTCATAGGTATTCTTGTCATTACCACAAAACTTTTCGATATAACATTTGATCTGTTCTTCAAAAAAACCTAAGATCTCCACTGTTCGGTCAAACTTTAGTTCATCAAATACATTTTCAGCTGTGGGTCATGATGTTATAGCAACAGTGACACCAGGCAACAGTTTACGTTTTACCAACAAACTTAACAGTCTAAATGCTGGCATTTTCGCATCACGGAGGATTGAACCATCAATTTTCTGGCATTCTTTTTTAAAAGATAGTTCATCAAGAACATCAAAGACAAGAACAGTTTTTTCAGGATTATTGATTATAAAGTCATAAATTTTGGAAAATTCCTGATCTAAAAATCCATCACAATCACTTAACATATATTTGAGACTAATGTTGCCATTTTTAATAGCACGACATCGCGTTAAAAGAACTAGTTTATCAAAAAAAATCATCTGAATTTTTTATCCATTCAAGTAAATTTTTTTTTATTAACATAGTTTTACCAATTCCCGGCCTTCCAATAACTAAAATGGTATGGGGATACGATTGGTCTTGCTCGCCCTGGATTGGTTTAAAAATTTCTGTCGCTCTTAATAATTTTTTTGTATCTTCTCTTATTGTAAGTTAGCAATGAAAGATTTCGTGTCTTTTAAATGTTTCTGGATAAGCATTCTTTAATTGTCTTTCTACTTGTACTATGACGTTGATGTAAATATTTTCAAGATTTCGCCACTCTTTGGTCTTATCGCCATAGTCGTCATGTATTACACATGCTTCGTTCGTGTCGAAATTGTTTTTAATTTCTTCCAAAGGTTTTCCAAATTCTTCTTCTTTCTTTTTCAACAGTTTTGCACAGTCGTCTTTTTGGAGTGGTACAAAATTTAAGTAAACTGTACAAAATTTATCCTCTTTTAAAAGACTTATCAGTCCAAGCCTTATACGTCAAGTAACACTGCTCCAAAATTGTTACTGTTATTACAATTAAATTGACCGATAAAACTACTACAATTAATGTCTTACTTTTATCACCGTTGGGATTTACACGAACAATGGTAGAAATGGTGTGATTTAACAAGGAAATTTCTTTCATTGTTGGACGTCTTTTACAGCTGTAATTGATGGGAAATTTGGCAAAGAAAAGTAATCCAACAATGACAGACAATATAATGAAGTGAAAAACTAAATGAACGATGTATATGTAATATGAAGAAAACTTAAATGCTACGTTGTTAGACTGACGAATTTCTTCGCAATATTCTGCATGTAGAGGTTCACTTTGTTCGTCACTGTTCTCAATTGGACTGTCATTATCATTATGTTCAACTTGAAGCTTTACATAATATCCATAAACGATACTCCAAAATAAGACAATGCCAAAATTCAAACCTACCACAAGAAAAATAGCATACTTGAAAGTCAGTCCATCTTTGTATTGTATGAAACATCTTGATTCTATGTTTTTTAAGAGAGAACTTTCTTTGGTCTTTGATATAATCTCATTATAGCAGTCAAATGAAATATCACCATATAAATTTAATGAAATACCAGAAACTATAAAGCCAAATAAACCAAAGATAATAAGTATTATTCTTCCAACCCAGTTAAAAGTGCTCCATGGAATGTATTCAAGACACTTTTCCATTGGTATGCTTTAAAAAAATACATTAGTTAATTACATAATTTTAAATATAAAACGATTACCGGGTTTAGGGATAAGTTTTCAAATTGAGGCAAATTTATTTGACTTTTCCTTTGATGTGAAAACTCAAAAAAATTTTCATGTTACTAATGTTTGAATGACTACACTAAGATTTTTTAAGTTTTGTGGTAAGCAAATTAGTCTGAAAATTTTTACAAAATTTTCACTTCATTAAGAGAAAAAGAGCAGTCAATAAAACAACGATTAAGTAAGACAGCATTTCCAATAAAAAAATTATCATTGGGAAACATATGATGTTCAACTTCACATAAGTTAATAGAATTCGAAAGTCGAGCATAATTAAGTAAGAGAATGGAATTGACTTTGTAAAAGTTTGTAAAAAATGCTGTGTCAGTATTACTACATGGCTTAAAAGAGAAGCTAAACTACACGATATGATAGATAATGTCAAATGAGGGGTGCGAATTGGGATGAACCCTCCATGAGAATCAATGCCTAATTCATAGAAAGACTGTCTGATTTCTCTGGTTAAGCAAATTATCTAATATTTGACGGAGCATTATGCCATTGTGAATCAACATCTCCTCATTTCAATGTTCAGTCACGCAAAATATCAATCACTTGTCCGAAGGCAACTATATAAACAAAACGTGCAAAAACGTGCCTTCTAATGTGGTGTAAGCTAATTGACATAAAGAAGCCCTAATTGTTCAATTTCTCTTAAAAAATATCGTAAGTGCGATTTGACTACAGCTGCAGAGATGAACTTAGGGAGCATCATAGTCAAAAAGTGTGCAGGGGGGGATTCTTTTAATGTAGTTTTATCTATCACAATGTCTACCTAAATGTCTAGGTAGACAATGTTTAGGTAGATAATGTCTAGGCCACAAATTGAAAAGTTGTTGCAAGCAATAATACGAGAACAAAATCATATAAAGATGAAGGCCCAATCTGTTCAAAATTGTCTAGAATAATTTTATCAACACAAAATCATTTATTTACACAACTTGATTATTAATCCTATGTCTTTGAATCATTTTTACGTTTCACGATCAATTTGTGAGCTTGTATGCATTTATTTTAATGCTACAACAGCTATGGTTTTTGAGATATGCCAATATTAATTTGTATACATCAAAATACTTGCATTTAAGCTCACAAACTGATCGTGGCACGTAAAAATGATTGGAATTCATGTGATGATTATTTAAGTTGTGTAAATAAATAATTCCGTATTATTAATATAAATCTTAGTAATTTCAACCTGATCAGATCTCCATACATTTATTATTCATAAGCACACATTTCAAGTACTTGGCCCCTCATCTGTTGGAACTGTCCTTCTACTGTTTTCAAATACTTACTTGTGTCAGCAAGTTAATATCAACAGCTGACCCATAACTCCCCAGCACCTCAAGAGCTATGACGTAGGTAACCTATTATTTGTTTGTTGAATTATATTAAGGTTAAATGTTCTATACCTTTGTTTGAAAATAAATTTTCCCAATCTTTAGGCCACACAACTTTTTTGTAGCAAAGATAAACTTATTTGGTGATCAATATTTCCACTTCTAAAACGACTTAAATATTCAAACTATTCAAAGACGACATCAGCACATTTGCAATTTCAAAATTCGATTCGTGAGGCATCATTATATTAATGATGTAGCACATAATTTACAAATATGCTGAATAGGACGGAACGACTAATAAATAATAGCAAACAATTTAGGTTCCTTAACCAACACATTATCACAAACGTACCTTGTTTTAGATGACAGTGATTTGTTTTTGGAAAGCAAATGTTTGTTGTTGCAGTTGTAACTTTGATTTATTCAAAACTACAGGATTATAAGCATCAACGGTATATCTATATCTATACGGTATCCATAAACGATACTCCAAAATAAGATAATGCCAAAATCAAAAAATACCATAAGAAAAACTGCAGTTAAAAGTTAACCATCTTTGTATTGTCTGAAACATCTTGATTCAATGCTCTTAAAAAAGAACTTTCTTTCTTCTTTGATATAATCTCATTATGACAATTAAATGAACTATCAAGATATAAAATTAATGAAATACTAGAAGCAAAGATGCCAAATATGCCAAAGAAAATCAATATTATTCTTCCAAAACAGATAAAACTGCTCCATTTTATGTATTCAAGACATTTTTCCATTTTTATGATTAAAAAATGTGTTAAATCGTCACATTACTTTGAATTAAAAACAAGACTCTAGCATTGGCGTTCAGTATCGTAGCAAGTGTGCAGATTTACTCCCCCTATTAAAATTCTAAAAGATTACCATTATTCATTTCTTTAGAAATCTACTGTTCTCACAGTCAGTGAACACAAAAATATTTGCATAGCGTAAGTAAAAAGTCGGGCTGGCTACGCTAATGCTGGCGTTACCCAAAGCTCTAGGTACAAAGTCGCATGCGAAATTCCAGTATTGTATATACCTCATGCAATAATCTACTTCGTGTCTAAATGACTATCTTGCATTAATATATATTTCCGACAACATCTGAAAAACAGGCGTGTGAATTATTTAACTAATAACCAGCACTATTTTCTCATTTCTCAGCTCGTCCTAGATCTAACTATATTTTATTCCAGACAGGGTTTTAACCTTCACTTTGCAACCTCAAAAGGTTGTGTCTTGCATTAGGCCAGAGAGTTTGTCAGAGAGTATCGATCAATTTAATGTACCATTTTTGCTTTGCTCCAAAGCCATCATCAGAGAATAAAGGCGGATCTCCACCAGACGATTTTTATGACGATCGTCTTAAAATTTCGCTGCGCCACATGCGCAGTAGGAAATAAAATCGTCAACAAAATCGTCAACAAAATCGTCAAAGACGATTGCAAATTGCAATGTGAAATTGAGAAAATGGCGGATGTGAATCAAACTTTAATGCATTATTTACTTCTTCGAAGGCATTTGATTTTACTGCATGCATGTAGAGTAAGATCCATGAAAACAAAGCGAAAACGACAAAGATTTTGGATGCGTAAACTGTACGAGGAAAGAAATGAGAAAGGAGAGTACAATTTGCTGGTTAAAGACTTGCGATTATACGATCATGAAATGTTTTTCAGATATTTCAGGATGTTACCTGACACTTTTGAGACCTTGTTGGGGTATATTGCCCCGATGATGAGAAAGAAAGAGACAAAAATGCGAGAACCAATAAGTGTAGATCAAAGACTTTTAGTCACTCTGCGATATTTGGCAACTGGGGAAGCTCATACAACTATCGCTGCCAATTATAGAATGAGCTCAACGACTGTTGGTCGAATTAACTACGAAACATGCAACGCACTTTGGGACAAACTAAAGGAAATGGGTTTCATGAAAACACCTTGCACTGAGGGTGACTGGAAAAAAGTATCTAAAGATTTTGAAGATCGATGGAACTTTCCTAATATGCTGGGAGAAATTGATGGAAAGCATGTGCAGATGTTTGCTTCTGCTGGACAGGCATTGAGTTTTTTTAATTACAAAAAGACTCATAGCATTGTTTTGTTGGGAGTTAGTGATGCAAATTATAGATTCACACTGGTTGATATTGGTGATAGTGGGCGGCAAAGTGATGGCAGCGTGTATGCCAACAGCAATCTTGGCTATGCTATTGAAAACAAGCTTCTCAACATGCCCACAGATGGCAAGATTACCCATTCAACGAAAGTACTACCCCACGTATTTGTAGGGGATGATGCATTTGGCCTAAAACGCCACATGATGAAGCCCTATCCTTTTTCAAACCTGTCTGAGAGGAAACTAATTTTCAATTACAGGCTAAGCAGAGCCAGACGTGTCATTGAAAATGCTTTTGGTATATGTGCTAGTCGGTTTCGTGTGTTTCATAGGCCTATAGTTGCCAAAGTTGATAATGTGATTGCCATAACTAAAGCTGTTGTGGCATTGCATAACTTCCTTATGAGCATAAATGAAGATGACGATTCAAATCTATACTGCCCACCATCATTTGCTGATCAAGATGGGCAAATGGGTAATGAGTTTAACCCTGGTGAGTGGCGACAAGATGCAAATTGTATGAATGGATTGGGTGACATTACAGATGTTGGTGCATCAAATAACTATGGTGCAGAAGCTAAGTGGGTTCGTGAACAATTTGCTGATTATTTTAATAATGAAAGAGCAGTTGACTGGCAGTGGCATATAGTAAGGTGTTCAAAATAAAAAACAAATTTAAAGCCATTTATATTCAATATGAGCATTAGTGATGTGAAGGGTTTTCATACAAAAGGGGTTTTTCACTTATGTAGTTAGCAATACATGTTTAAGCTATAATTCTAAAAATAAATGATTTCACTTGCTATATATCTGTATTCATTGGAAGGAATGTATCTTGTATAAGTGAGAGTATGTTATTAATTTTTAATGTGATCTGTGAAGTTCTACAACCATTTTCTTTAGGTATCTGAATATTGTAAATCATACAAAAGCTGTTGAATTTTTAATTTAGCTAGTCTGAGTTGCTTTTTTTCCATATCTCTTAAAACTGGAACAAGACTCACTCTTTTACCTGACATTCCTTCTAAATAATTTACCATTTTTCCATCCATACTCTTCATATGGTCAAGAAATGGGTTTAGTTGATCTTTAGAATTTGGATGTTTTCTTTTACCATATTTTGCCCCATCTGATATGTTTAAACAGCTTGAAGAAGGCTGACTAGGTCCTGGAGATTGTGATGAGGATATGTCCAATATGTTCTCTGGTATTGTTTGGATTTCAAGATCCACATTGCTGTGAGTTTCCAAATTGCTTGTTTTCTCATGAAGAAATCTCATAACCTCAAAATATTTGCATGTTGGAAGTGTCGAAGCAGCTGCCCCAGATTTAGACAATGCTCGTCTCCTATCAAGGCATTTTTTTAGAGAATCTTTAAGGTTCTTAAAAATTTTCTGAAGGTATGGAACTGAAAAAAGGGCAAGAAACAAATTTTGTTAGAGTTGACATAAAATACGAAATAACACATATAGTCAAGGAGCACAGTCAAACGAAATGGGGGGACGAACACTATTACGCAGAAACGTCGAGAAGTTTTCCTGTCCACTTTAGCATGTTTAACATGTTACATCACAATAACCAAACAACACATAAATGAAATTCTCAAGTTTCTTAAAGTCCTCCATTAATTTAGAACACTTACCTTCTCGCTGGAACATTCGAGACAAAGATTTCCATGCATTAAGTTTCATGGTCCTATTTTTGTAGTTTATATTGCTTGTATCCCACAAGCAACTATAGTCTCGGAGAGCTTGCAAAAACATTTCCTTATCGAGCTCTCCAACATCTTGTACCACATTTTGATCAACAAAATGTTGCACCACTGAGATATTCCTCGGAGATGCAAGTATTTGAATCTCTGACGGTATATTTTCTACAGGATTTGTACCGTTCAGTTGGAATTCGTTTTCTCCACCGGTGGCAGCCATTTTGACTTTAGAGAAATGGTAATTAGTTTCACGGGATGAAATTTCATTGGTTCAATTTACGACGATCGTCAAGCGCTCGACGAAAAGTAGAAACCGTTTCTACTTTTCGTCGAGCGCTTGACGATTTAGTTGACGATTTTTATTTCCTACTGCGCATGTGGCGCAGCGAATTTTTAAGACGATCGTCATAAAAATCGTCTAGTGGAGATCCGCCTTAACATATTATTAATCCTGACACAATTTTTATGCACATAAAAAACATGTGACTAGGACGAGTTTTGATCTTGCATCTTCAAGATATTAGTCCGCCGCTCTACCTATTGAGCCTACCCCTTGGTAGCTTGACAGGTTGAGCGGCGGACTAGTTTCTCGAAAGTGCGAGTTCCAAACTAGTCCAAGTCACATGTTTTTTATTTGCATGAAAGCCGTAACAGGATTAATAATCCTGCTTTGTAGCAATTAATTCAAAAAAATATGTTTAAAGGTAAAAAAGCAAGATTCTAGAAGAGTTTCAAGCTAAAAAGAACGCTACAAACCAAAATCAAAATCGTAAAAGTAAGATATACAAAGAGTGTAAGCGCGTTTTATGAATGACGTGCATGTAGCTATTAATTTAAGTATTGTCATTCACGAGGAATACATACGACAGTTTATAGCACAGGATAAGTTCAGAAAAACACAAAGACATTTACAATGTCTTATAAAAATTTTCACACATGGAGCACTTTTCCTTACGGTCATGCAATAATGAATTCTTCAGAAGATTACCTCAATTATCTATCTTGTTTATTTTTTACTAAAAAAATATTGCGTTTTTATGAATATTGATTTTGTATTCATATTACAGGGTTTTTCAAATGTAAAGGAAGGCTAGAAAGAACTATTAGGCACATGCTCCACTGAGTTCTATCAAACCTCTTAAAATAAACAAGAAAAACATTTCTTGATTTTATTTAGGATGTGCTGCAAATAACAAAGAAATATTTCCCATTGTTAAAAACTAATATTTTTAGACATTTTATATATTTATAGAAAGAAGAATTAAGCCAGAAGGAAATAAAATAGAATAAAATGTTTTACCTTGTGTGCAAGTCCACTTTATAAGAAAGCTTACTGTGTGCAAAATTTTCGTGAAAGCGAGAGAAAAATTACCCAAACAATAGAAATATTGAGCATATTGAAAAATTAGTTTTGAAAAAAAAAAAAATTTTTAAAATATCTTGGTGTTCAAACTGTAGAAAACTTTTTAAAAAATATCGTTTATTGCTACAAACTTTAAAAATTTTTACATTACATTTTCTTATGCTTAAAATTAACGCAATAATACATAATCATGGTTAATTTTTATAAACCAGGTACAGCAATACACAACTGTAAATGCACAAAATGTTTTGTTCAAGCCCATTATTTGCCACATGTAAGAACCAGGTCTTTCCATTTGGAGAATTACTTGTTTAGTGTTCAATACCCAAATTCTAAGTCAACAACCGATATTTAAATCAGTTGTTTACAATTCTCAATTTCAATGGCTTTACATTGAGATTTTTAGCCCTTTCAACACCAATAAATTGTTATCATTAATACATTTTATAGAATTTTGTGAAACTCGACTTTTTTAAAGTTCAATAAAACCTTTAATATTTTTATCATGTATCATGCAAAGAGAAAATTACTCTTGGGAAATATAACTAAAAATAAAAATCACTTGTAGGAATATAAATTCTCACTTTATAATGTGTTACTAAGATGTTTAGGGCCTTGAACACTCGTACTGTTACTATTGATACTCAATTCAGCAAACATACAATTCTCACTTTTCAAAGCTTCACTAAGAAACTTTGCACCTTCATCATACATATTGTTATAATGAAGAGGCAATTTAGTAAGTTTACAATTCTCACTTTTCATCTTTATCACCGGTATTGTTATTGAGGATATTTATTTCAGTAAACTTACATCTCTTATTTTCCAAAGCTTCACTAAGATACATCACACCTTTAGCTACTATTTTGTTGTTACCAATATCCTATTTGATAAGTTTCCATTCTAACTTTGAATGTTTTACTAAGATATTTAGCAGCTTCATCACCTAAATTGTTACGATACAAACTAAGTAAAGTAAGGTTACAATTCTCACATTTCAAAGCTTCACTAAGATATTTGCCACCTTCATCAGCAATTCTGTTCCTATCAAGATTTAAGCTAGTAAGTTTACAATTCTCACTTTTCAAAGCTTCACTAAGATATTTGGCACCTTCATCACCTATTTGGTTGCTATCAAGATTTAAGCTAGTAAGTTTACAATTATCGCTTTTCAAAGCTTCACTAAGATATTTTGCACCTTCATCACCTATATGGTTGCTATCAACATTCAAACTAGTAGGTTTACAATTCTCACTTTTCAATGCTTCACTAAGATATCTTGCACCTTTATCACCTATATGGTTATTGGAGATATGTATTTTAGTAAGCTTACATATCTCATTTTTCAAAGCTTCACTAAGATATTTTGCACCTTCAATGCCTATCTGGTTGCTATTAAGATACAATTCGGTAAGCTTACAATTCTTTCTTTTTACTGCTTCACTAAGATATTTTGCACCTTCTTCACGTATATTGTTTGTTTGAAGATTAAATTTTGTAAGTTTACAATTCTCACTTTTCAAAGCTTTACTAAGAGATTTTGCACCTTCACCACGTATAGTGTTTTCCCTAAGAGACAATTCAGTAAGTTTACAATTCTCATTTTTCAAAGCTTCACTAAGATATTTAGCACCTTCTTTCCCAATATTGTTAGCCCTAAGATACAATTTAGTAAGTTTACAACTCTCACTTTTCAAAGCTTCACTAAGATATTTGGCACATTGATCCCCTTTCTCGCTAAGAATAAGAGACAATTTAGTAAGTTTACAATTCTCACTTTTCAAAGCTTCACTAAGATATTTTGAACTTTCTTTACCTATACTGCTACCAAATAATTTCAACTCAGTTACTTTACTATTCTCACTCTTCAAAGCTTTGCTGAGATGCTTACAAAAAACATTGCCGAAAGTACAAAATTCAAACTCTAAGTTAATCAAAATTTCCGCTCTCTCACTTGACAAATAGTTTTTTAAAGGAAGACAGCTTTGATTATCAAGAAACTTGCAATTGTTAAAGGAAAGACCTTTTATGTGTTCACATTCAGAAAGAAATTCAAACAATGCGTTTGAATCAACAGGCGTAAAAGAAACTCCATCAATCTGCGTTTTTTGAAAAAAGTTCTCTAACTCCGTACAAGCTGACCTCATGACATCTTTGTCCTGCAACTCGTATAAGCACTTTACTCCAAGAAAACCAAGGACTTTATCGCCGTCCTTGGAAATTAAGTTTGAAATCCAGTTTTTAAACCTACAAAATCAAAATACATAGCTTATTTCTAAGGGTATATGTAATGTTGTATGATAGGAATTTGATTGGCTAGTGTAATAATTCAAGGCCCATTTTAAATGTCGACGCTTGTTACATCTTTGGAATGCGTTAAAGTTAATAGAAATGATAAGATAAAATTCTCAATTTTCTTTTTTTAAATGCGTTTGGCTTTTGTCAAATTCAACGTTTGAAACAGGCCAACGATGGTGACGTAGCATTTTTAAGTTTGACCCAGAACTATTCTGGGTCCGTCTAAGGAGAATCCTTTGGTAATCAAACTAAGGACTAAAAAAGCCTGCAAAGTTTTAAAAAAACAAATTTTGTTCAACATGGGACATATTATACAGCCTCTTCTTTTAAAATTAAATTTTCAGTCTCTTTCTTAAATCATCGATAGCGATTACTCAAAGTTTTCTTTTGAAATAAAAGAAGCTCTTTGCATCAATAAAACTAATCTTGACTTAAATGTTTAAATTTACCACTATAGCTATAACGCTCTCTTATCATATTTATAGTTAATAACTTAGTAATTGTAATTACATAATGTTCCCATGGCGATTTGTTTATATACGTGTAACTTGGGTACTCTTTGGTTAACAGACGAGAATCTGTAATTAAAATTTTGACAATAACAGTAGCATATGTTTAGTTCTCCTCAGTTGGTGTTGATTGTTATTTCTATGACAATATGATGAATATTTGTATGTAGTATGAAAAAAATTGTTTTTCGCAGAACTTGCTTTGAAATTGCGTTTTGTAAATACGATAGCAAGACTTCCGACTGTCCGACAGTAAGTAAATTAAAAAATATCGAATTATCAAGTGCGCTTTTTTGTTCTTATGTGTTATGATTGTATTACATTCCATATTTATTGTAAAAATAATGAGAAAGATCAACAAAATTTAGCAATTTTTTCTTGATTAATTTTACCAGGAATAATGCTAAAAACATTAGTTCTGTTGCCTCATTGGTCTGGTCCACACGGAGTTGTTGTAAATTGTCATGTCAAATTATTTACCGTGTAACTGTGTCTTATTATAGATTATAAGATATATTATTAAATTGATGACAAATACTATAGTCATGTCAAAGGAGCACTTTCTCACCGCAATGCGTCATTGCGGTAGGATGTAGGTTAAAACGGAATGGCAAAGTTACAAGTCATATTTAAACGCCTAAAACCACTTCCGAATAACTATACATAAATATAGCTTGCAAGCGTTGGTTCGGAAGTTCGGAAAAGTTGACGTTATTGGTGTATGAACGGGTCATACAAATTTGATAATTTATAGTCGTATTGCAGAAGGCAATAAATTTCGAAAACGCAGATTAAGGATTGACGGCTGTCCGTAATCTTAACGAGGTCAATTTAATTATTCCGTATCGTGAAGAACCAACGTTTGGAACCCCGTCTTGTAAAAATCGTGCACAACCACTGTAAATATCCTATCGAAGTGTTAAATATTATATTCAAAATACAGTTCCATCGTTCGAGTAAAGTTTGAATACAGTGAGCCAGCACTTCGCACAGATTGTGTGAAACGAGTTATGTGACAATAACTATATGAAGAATCGCTCATTCCTTAAGATCAGTTCTGCAAGAACCGTTGCACGGTCAGTGTTCAAAAACAAACCATAGAACTCAAATTACAATAACCGGAAGAAAAAAATTGATGATGGATCAAGAGGAAAATCAATTGAAAAGGAAGTTGCCATAGCAGAGGAAGAAGAATAGTTATTACTTGACATTGATGGAAGTCAAGTTGAAAATAGTTGATAACAAAGAAAACAATTTCATGGCCATGATTGCAAAAACGATAGAAAACAAAATGAAGTTGTCCGTTACACGTCTCTAACGCTGCCCAAGAGAAACTAGAGACAGAATAGCGTTGTATAGCTAAGAATCTAAAGATATATAATAACCTTTATGAAGCAGAGAAAGTAATCTTTTATTTAGAAATGTTAACGGAGTTCAAAAATAATGGCGACGCGCCAAATTCCTGTTTAAACATCTTAGTCGCTCAGGATGATTGACTTAGCAAAGTTGGTCAATATTACCATTTGCATATTACCAACTGGTAAGTGTCTCGAATTTTTCTCGTATGTTTACATTTCAAACATCACGTTTGTCAGACAGAACGTCCGGTTTCAAATAGTAAAAGTTACGTTTGTGGAAATCGCAGATTTCTACAATTGCAAAAGATCTTTCTTATATTATATGATGAATTATTAAACTTTGCAAATTGCCTAAGGTATACGAATGTAATTTTAAGTTGCTACAGCATTTGAACAATGCAAAATCGTATAAATATGTCAATGACATGACGAAGACCTGTTCAACTTGTTCCTCAAACTTTAAACAATCTTGAGCAAACGTTACGTTTCTAATTTGAAAGCAATGTTTCGCCTGACAAACGTAACGTTTGAAACGCGAACAAACGCCAAAAATTTAGGACACTTACCAGTTGAATGCAAATGGTGATATAATGGTGAAAAAAACAAACAAACGATGATCTAAGCCATAAACTGGCAGACATTTGTCAACCAATATTAATCGTTTAACTTGGAAAAAACCAAATAAATACATAAGATCGATCCAAAGAAAAGCTCACTGTGCCAAAGAATAAATGCCTGAAATTTGGTAATTACTGAATCATACGATTTGCGGCTTGTTTCTTTAAGTTGGGAGTTTTCATATAAAGCTTGTCGAAGTTTGAGTTACAATTACTTAATTAACCATAGCGTAGCTGATATTGTAACATTGCAATCTAAGCATTCGATTTGAGATACTGCAAAGCTAAACAAAGACTTGGAAAGCTGGCGACCTTTATCACCAATGCTTTAACACTACTTGGCGATATGTACATTGAGTTTTTGACTCGCAATCTTGAGCTTTTCAAGCCAAATTTAAACAAGGAATGTCGTTCCTTGTGTTTGCCTCGAATACCCGCGTAACGGAGTTCTTGTTTTGCGAAGATTTACATGTTCACATTCCTAGTATTAAAGTAATAAAATTAGCCAGACAACTACAACCAGATCAAAGGCCAATACTTACACCAATGTACATCGTCTCTATAAATGCAAAGGACATCACTCACAATGAAATTTATTTCCACTCAACAAACACAACACAGACAGCAGCAGGCAGCCTTTTTTATAACAAAGTTTGGCAACAATTATTGCCCTACCAGATGAGCCTAAAACCAGCATATGTGACTGCATATCACGGCAAAACTTTAAAACATTTCTCCAGTAAACGCTTCAATCTTCAATTCATTAGTATTATACTACTAAAGTCGCTAAGTATAGTCTCTATCTTTAGAGCAGGTAGACTTTGTTTTATGATAAATGTGAGATTATAGCTTCAAATGCTGAAGTTTTAGAAATGGTCTCATGTAAGCAACTTGATTCTCACAACCATTCTATCAGCTATATGTTCTATAAGGCAAATCAGGTTTGGATTCCGGGTGTAATGCTGACAAGAAACTTCCCTTTGAGAAAGCCTTAAAAAGTATTCAGCAAAGTTGGTGCAGCAGTTCCGTGAAAGAACGAAAAAGCGTATACATCTTGCCAAAATTCATGCCTTCAAAAAAATGGGCATGGGGTCCTTAAAATGATTATGAAGTTTAAAGGTTTAAACTAATTTATAAAATAGCATCATTACTAAATGGAATTCTTTGCTGCTACCATAACATGATAAAATTCAGATGTTTTACAGATGGAATTGATTTGAAGAAATGCATATTATTTTTTCGTACTTGCACCACAACATTGAAAATATTTAAAGTTTTCCACTGGTGAAAAATTATATGAACTTTCCTCTACCCCAATAGTTTGTCATAAAACAAAAAGAAAATTTAAAAAATGATTAAAGCCATAAACTTCTGAGTGTTTTATGCAGTGGGGTGTTTGAAATTATATGAGATATGATCTTCGCACTTAGCTGGACAATTTAAGCAATCGTCTCAGGACCTGAAAAAATCAGGTGACTCAACGGGATTCGAACCCATGACCTTTGCGGTGCCGGTGCAGTGCTCTGACCACTGAGCTATGAAGTCACACAGTGGTGAGCAGGTCAATATTGTTGGGCTGATGTTTTCTCGTGAAATGAATGTCATTCGAATGTCATTCGACATTCATTTCACGAGAAAACATGAGCCCAACAATATTGACCTGCTCACCACTGTGTGACTTCATAGCTCAGTGGTCAGAGCACTGCACCGGCACCGCAAAGGTCATGGGTTCGAATCCCGTTGAGTCACCTGATTTTTTCAGGTCCTGAGACGATTGCTTAAATTGTCCAGCTAAGTGCGAAGATCATATCTCATTTAACCATAAACTTCTATTCGCAACAGGAGGGCTATATCTATTTTACTCATTTTAATGATTATCTACAAGGCAACTATTAATGATAATGAACTTTCAAACAATGCTTTAGATACGAGCATGTAGTCTACTGAAAACTCTAGGGTTTAACGAACACCCTCAGACTTCATCATTTACCAAGCAAAGTTCTCGCAGTTCTTGGTTTTAAGATTGTATCGGTCCAAATGATTCTAACTAAGGAAAAGATAAGCAATGTAGAGACATTGTGCTGTATTTTTTACACAGTTTACCTCTTAGTATCCCTCAGGTTACATCTGTGTAAGGATTATGAATCGCTTTTTTTTCCTTATGTCTAAATTGAGCCTTTTATTTTAGACATTTTTTTGCGCATAAATTTTCAGCATTGAAAAATTATTAACAAATGTTTTATAGATGTATGAATTTGGAAAATAGCATGTGAGAATTTGCAATGTTTGATCATGTTTGCTGACCCGTTTATTCAAACGGTCAGTGGCGTAACAGTGATGGGGTGACTTGATATTATGACCCAAACAAGAATTACAATATAAATTAAGTTAATAAATAAAAACATATATGAGAAATTAATAGCAATACTATTATGTTACATCTCAGCAATTTTAGTATATTGTTA